AACCATCCTGACCTGTTTTCCAACACCTTAGAAATAGGTATTATTGAGCTGTGTGTGTGGAAGTAATTTTAATTGCATTTCCTACAGCCTTCTCATTTGCTTGGTATCACATTTGATGTTATCTACACTTTAAACAAACTTACTCTTATTTTTCCTGTGCTTCTTTGAAATGTATTAAAAGCACGAAGAACAGCAAATGGTGCATTGCAGAGAGGCCTGCCACGTCACAAATACCCTTACGGAACAGATGGTCCAGTTGCGAACTTCCCAAATATTGACATCTGTGTGGCAGGCAACTGTATCGGTCGGAGAGATACAGCTTTCAAGTTTTACAAAGTCTATGAAAATTAAGTAATTCCTAAGTCTCTCCTTTACTAATGGAAAATATGGGAATTGTCCCTTATTAATAAGAGGGACTCTAAGAGATTGTGGATGCACTAGTAAATTTTTTCCTAATCTATTAGAAAGTTGAAGCCTCAAATTTGCCAGATAATAACTACGTTTTCAGAGAATCATTCCTCTGAGTTTCCATTTCCTCATCTTTAGTATGTGGGTTAAAAATACTTGACTCTCAGAGTTTCTCCAATTATTAGAAACTTGCAGTGTCCTGGTGTATCCTAGTTTAACATATACCACGTGAACTACAAAGACTATACAACAAATATAATTATAGACCTACTGGGCTTCATCCTTCATGGTTTAGTTTATTGTGAAAGGGAAATTGTGAATCTGCTTGCTTTCTATTACTGAATATAAAGATAATCCATTTTAGCCCTGACCGTTGTGGCTCAGTTGCTTGGGTGTCTTCCACCAAGTGAAAGGTCGCTGGTTTGATTCCCAGTCAGGGTGTGCGGGAAGCAGCCCGTCGATGTTTCTCACATCAATGTTTCTCTCCCTCTCTTTCTTTTAAAAAATATTTTATTTGTTTATTTTTAGAGAGAGGGGAAGGGAGGGTGAAAGAGAGCGAGAGAAGCATTGATCAGCTGCCTCCCACGGGCACCAGACCAGCGACCAAACCTGCAACCCAGGCACGTACCCCAACCAGGGATGGAACGGGCGATGCTTTGCCTAGCGGGACGATTCCTAACAGAGCCACACTAGCCACGGCTAAAAATAATAAAATCTTAAAAAAAAACCCATTTTTTTGCGATAGGGGTTTTCTGTTAGAAAAACCTCTAACAGAAATTCCAATTAACACGAACCTTTAGTTAAGAATGTTTTAGTCATTTTAACTATAGGAAAAGCATTGCAGTGTAATAAAATAAACCCATTAAAAATACGCGTTATTTGTTAGTATAGTTCCAATTAAATCTCTTAGATATTTAGAACTGTTCAATTATATTGGATGTCTAGAAGATAAACTTTGAAAAACACAATCCATGAATCATGTTTACTTTTCACACCAAGGACATATTATCAGAGGGTTTTTGACAATAAAAAAAATTTAGTGTTTGACTTTCCAATTTCCCAAGAATATGCATAGATGTTCTGGATCGTGAGCTGCCAATATAGCTGAAAACCTAGTTTATTTTGTTCTCAGATGTGCCGATTATCGATTTATTGATTTTTCAGTTCCAAGTTTACTCTTCACTACCTGCCCTGGGATGATGTCTGGGCTCCAAGCATTTCTCCTTCGCAGTGAACGCAGTGTTAAGCTTCATCAGCCATCAGCTGAGGGAGCTGAAGAATATTTCAGGAGTAAGGGGCTTCTCTCCCTGGATTCGGGTGCTGCGTTTTGCTCTTTCTTGCTCCGGCTGGTGGTCCATCCACGGTGCATGTGCATGGGGACATCTGGTGGAGCTCTGCCCCAACTATGCACCCGCAGTGCACGCACCAGTCACTCACACCCCTGGCCAGGGCCCCGTGGCCACACTGCTACTGTCCTCCGCATGAAGACACCTGTGTTCCAGGCCTCATACCCACAGCAGCACCCCCGCTTTCTTGGCACACCCACGCACCGGCCTTGGCTTACCTGCATTCTTGTTGCCTGTTCCCAGCAACTGAGGATCACCTCTGGCCTCGGCTAACAGAGAACTTTTCTATTCAGTAAACCACAACCACACTTTCTTCGACAAAGTCTGACCTCTAGCCATCCGAAGGAGTACTTCATCTAAAGCTTTCCTTCCTTGGATCCTCTCTCTCAGCCCTAGGATACCCTTTTGGGTACTCATTTTATTTTCATAGTTACTCTTATCATAGCTTAACTAATAATTTTTCACATTAAACTTTTGTTAATTAACTATGTGATCTCTGTCTCCTGATTGGATCCAGTCTGACCCACCCAGAGTAATCCAACACATTTCCCCCTAGCCTCTGACTTACTCTTAACATCTACACCATATTAATATTCTTAAAGATCATCTAGAACTTCCTGGATATTCCAGAACAATCCAGATTGGATTCACATCACTGATTTCTATCTTTTCTTGGGGCAGAAATACCAGATTCACTTTGGTGCTTATTAAGTTCATGTTTCATCTGAAACATTGATAATGGTACCAGAAAAATTATTAAGCAGTAGCATAATAATTTAACAGAAGAAAATGAATGGTTTCAGTTTATAAAGCCAGAATTAATTTAACTTACAATCTGAAGTTTATACTTAAAAAGCTCCATGGCTTCTCTGCTCCCCATTTCATTCAATCCTCAGGATTCTCAAGCTTCCAGGTCAGACGGCATCAATACAGTCACCCAAGTAATGACTTTTACTTATATAAAAATTCCTGTGTGTATGATAAGTCACTGGAGTTCAATTTACTGTCTTATTTACCAAGGGAACCATCTGGCATATCAGTGATACAGTAGGAAAAATAAATTGAGATACCTCTGAAGATATTATAGCCTACTGAAATACTTTAAACTATCGCATTTTTGAGTAAGTGCTTAGAATAGCACCAGCTGTGTGTGCTTTACAAGCAAAAGAAAAAAAGGAAGAAAAAACAAACCTAAGTGTATTTGAACTAGAGAGCAAACGCGACCATTTAGAACATGATGAAAAACTAATTTGGACCCCAGTTATTAAACAAGAACTTTGTCCCTTGAAGCATGGACGTATTAGAGACCATGTCGATCAATCCACGGACCCGGTAGAGAAGTCATTTTCCATGGGAATTACATTTGCCTGAAGAGAAAATGAAAAATTGTATTCCTTGTGGATTCTAAACTGTTTTACTTTTCTTCCTGCGGCCAGTGATCAGTGATTTTCTGACAAGTAGATGTTTTATTCTTCTATGCTAAGCAATGGCTCCAATCTTTATTGTATGTGATCACACGCAGTTACAAACACAGGGGGAAAATTGCGTTCTTGGCACACTCGTTTACTAGGGCTCCCTCGGTGCCCTGTCATTAGTGCCAATCACTAAACACACCTTGCTTTCCCCTGGTTCAGCGTTCAAGATGTGGAAGCCACACCTTTCTTTTTAATCATTGATGCAATCTTGCCACCTACTCAGACAGCTTCTAAATCATGGAGTAAAGAGGAAAAGGTCAGAAATATAACACCACCTTCAAATAGCGAGTTCTAAATTCTCTTCACGAAATGAACAGTTGAGCAAATCAGACACTTGCCACATTCAAAATACTATGCATCTCTCTCCCGAGTATGATAAATATTCAGACCACTACTGACTTTTGGGGGGAAAGGGGTTCTTTCACAAACTTTTGGGCTTGGTGCTTCCTGAGCTAAAAGCCCTCATTCATAAGTACAACACAAAACTGTATCAGTCTGAGTCCTGTTGGGCAGCCATGTGTCCTAGCCCCCTTCCTCTTTTAAATTTTAAATACTGCAAAGGAACCATTTTCCCTGGGAGGCTCCCACACTTGGGATGAAACCTTCTCTGCGGAATTTTGGCACCCTATTAATTAGTGGTTATGAGTGGGAGCTGCTCTCTCTCAGCAACTCCTATTCTGCCATCAGTCAAGTGTGATTCTGTAATAAATTCCCACAAAGCAAACTATTTCTGGTAATTCTCCCTAATTAACACCAGGCCTGCTAATAATACATCAGTACCTATGTGTTTCTGATATAACCAAGATCTTGTCTGAGACTACTCAAAAAGGGAAACCGCCAACCTAAATTAAGCTTTTGCAGTCAAAAAGGATTTTATATGTAGTTCTGTAAGAAAAGCTTTGATAATCTTATATTGGGGACATTTGAGCAGAAAACATTGAACGACAGGGAGGCTTGCTCTGGTTTGAGCACTGAATGGGGATTTATTGTGAACACACACTGTTGAGTCTTAAACCTATAAATCTTGTACTGGATTACTGTTTCTTAACGAAGGAATGACAGATCTCTTATTTTGTCGGTGCATTTTAATGTGCAATGACGTGATTGATAGAAACCAAACAGCAGCTATTAAAATGTCAGATGCAGACTTGATGCCCTTATAAGTTTGGCTTCTGGAGTTTAATATACTGTGAGCAAATAGACTTGAATTTGTCTTTTATTCCCAATATACAGCCTGCGACAGAAACATTCCCCTTAACTTTACACAGTTGGGGAAAAAAAAAGTCTTACTCAAACCAATAAACAAACGAGGAATAGGTGAGCCTACCTAGTTACAGAAAAGTTAGCTAATGAGATCAGGATGAGTGAAGCATGAAGTAACAGATCCTGGTCAATGAGAAACGTAAAAACGTGGATGATGACTTAATGTTGTTTGAATGTGATATATGAAACAATATAATGCTTGATATGACACATTATTCCAATGAATAATTTCAGCAATAAATATTTTAAAAGGACAAAGAGCTTATTTATCAACTAATTGACAAACATTTGTGTGCATATGATACATGCAGAGCACAGAAATGGATTAAAATAAAATACAGGTGACAACATTTTCAAATGTGTTATTTCTGTGACATTTTGATAAGCAAGTATCATAAGGAGATTCTCCTGAGGGCTAGTGCATCTCTCCCTGTCCTTCGAACATGATTTTTTCCTATGATAACCGACTGGAAACCACTCGCCACCCCCAAAAGAAAAACCAGGAGAGTTTATCTACATCACTGCAGCCATTTATTTATTATGTGGTCACTAACATATTACTATACTGATTATACTTCTCATGTGGTTTTTTAATTAGAAAATACATCCAAAAGCAAAACAGCACAGGCATTAATACAAACTTAAAAATGTAAAGAAACAGAAAATAGAGATTAATAGAATAGATAAGGAAAATGATACATTGAGAATCCAAACCCAACACCTTAAAATATTTGGGGGATGAAGAGTGACAAAGCAAAGCCACATCTGTGTAGATGCCAGATTTGTGTAAAATTACTCAGTGTACTTTCCCTTCCCTGTCTGAAAAGTCTCTCCTTTCAATAGGGATGACTACACTGCAAACATCACAAAAATGTTAGTAACATACCACTGCTAGATCCACATTTGAACAGGGAGAGGAAGTAACTGCTTTCTATAACAGTGATCCTAATATACTGCTCCTTGAAAATGGTACCACAAATCCACTTTTGTTGTAGATAATTTTTAAATATAATGCTGCACTAATATTTTGAAGATTTAAACCCTCATTTCTGTTTGTCTTAATATAGATCAAATGATTAGGTTTTAGTTTTAGACTCTAAATGAATCAATAGGAAACATGTAAGCTACTATAAGCATAAGCACAGGGGATAATTTTTAGGCTGCTACTTCAGTGGGCGACACTCTGTCCTTTGTAAGTGCAGAGAAATGTTAAAGTCTGAACTGATTACTAACGTTCTGAAACTTGAAAGTCCGAATAGGGGATGTTTTACAGTCATGTACTATGATTTCAATCTGTATTCTATTTGCATTCTACTAAGTACAGCATTCCAAAATATACATCTAGAGAGATTAAGAGTAAATGCTCTACAGTAAAGACGTAATAACTTAAAAAATGCTACTGACATAGAACTTTTATAATCAGAAAAATAAATATTCAGGGAGCCCACCAGAAGAATAAAGTGCTCAGCCTGAGTAATTAAAAGATTAATGTTGGTGTATTAAATATGGCATTACCCACTGGAAAATACAGATTCTTCTGGGTTATAATCAATATTTATTTCATAGGATTAACTGTTTTAGGAACTGACAGCGAAGAGCAAAACAAAGCACAATGACAATGATAAATTAGGAAGTAATGTTACCCTCTTAGGGATAAAATTTAGAGAAATACAACATTATGCTCTATGAATAATATGCAGAAAGAAAAGTCTACTAGAATGATATATTAATGTAACATAACTTTATAAGAAATCCAGGTCAAATAAAATTCTTTGAAGGAAATACCCAAATGCCACTGACTTATCAAAAACTATCTTGGCATATAATCTATGAAAGCAAACCTACATAACAAAAAAATCTTCTACCACACCGAAACAAAACCACCAATGTTATGCTGTGTAAAGCAAAAGACTGACATTGAGAGATGACAATGCACGTTAGCCAGTACGTCTTTTATAGGTGGTTTCAGCAGCAATGAGAAATAATACACAATTCAGTTCCAGCACTTAAAAAAACAAAACAAAACAAAACAAAACAAAACAATTTCCTGCCTCCCTACAAGATGCAGGGCGAGGAGGTGGCTTGCGGTTGCTACTGGCGAAGCATTCAGTTTGCCACTTTGTGCCACCCTTCTCATTCCTTATCCCCAGTTAATTATTATCTGCATATAATTTAAATCTGCTGGACCATAAATTAATGGCTTTCAGGACAGATGCCTTGAAAAGTTCTTAGGGAGGTTAAACAAATATGGTAGCCTAAAATTCTTCTTTACAAGAAGCATGTACACAATGGAAGTGAAGTCATTAGTAAGTGATTGGGGGAGGAAGGACTTGGAGCTCAACCTCAAATTTAAAAGCATCTAGCTCCAAACACATTTAAACTATAACTGAGTGGGATCATGAACTTTCATCCATTCTGGAAACAAAGAGAAAAATGATCAAATGTTATAATTTCTTTTCTCATTGGGCAAATGTTAATAGGATATATTACAATTTTACCACAGTTGTTTCTCTGTCTTCATGTTGTATCTATGTATTTTTCCCCCAAATGAAGAAAACAAACAATGGGCCAGCCTGGGTAATTAGGCATGTTCCCCTCCTCTACTACCAAACCTCTGTGCATGAAAGTTTTCCAGACTTTGTGATCACATCTGGAAGTGGTTTGTTTATTGAAAGAGAACTATCAAAAGGAAAATACAATCTAGATTTTATCACATCCACAAACCAATTTTAAATTTTTCTAATGAAGAATTAAAGAAAAAATATTACTCTGCAAAGAGAGCTCTCAAATGTTCATCAGTCAGTAGTATAACTGTGAAACTAATTCACTGTCAAAAAGGGGGAATCTGGGGAGGAGAATATTTTGGATCTAGTACTCTAATTTACCGTAATTCCCCACCGCGTTCTTTCCTGTTCATTCTCTTTAAAGAGAGAGAAGACAATCACAGTCCAAAGATGTTCAATTAGCTCTTTATCAGAGCATAAAGGAAGAGAGAAAAAAGGGAGTTTGACTACTATACATGAAAAACATACCCAATGAGTAAAAATGGTCATATTTTAATAAAAGGTGAAAATTTGAGACTTATGGTGGCTTTGAAAGAGTATAAAAAATATAGTATCTCTTATTGGCATGACACATTTTGACACAAGAATCTCACTGACCTTTCCTACTGGAATGATCAACTGTAAAATTTTTAAAAATGCAGTGTTTTTAAAAATGGACATGTGCTACTATGGATAAAATTCTGTTTAAACTCCTATTTAATGTTTTCAAGAAAAACACTAATTTTTAAAAAATACAATGTTTCACTTATTGATAAAGAATAAGGCATTTTCATTGCCTTTTACCGACTTATAACTACCTATTAAGGAAAGAAAGCATAGTTATTTCAGCACAGAGGTTGGAGTTTTTATTCTAAATTTAATTCTTCACTAATTTATTCTAAGATGAATTTAATAGTCAACCAGGAAATTGGTTTTTATAAAAGTTATTTTATGGGCATAACATACTGGGAAAAAGTAATAACAAATGTCAGACTGTCTCCTTATGTTATGAAGCCAAATATTTCTTCACAGATTTGATTTTTAAATCTGGAATTTACCCCTTCAGGGCTACTATTATTTTTCAAATATCCATATAAATATTAAATCTAAATTTCAATTGGTAATTTTAATTCTCCTCTTTCTCTTCTTTCTTTTCTTCTGAAATGTTGACTTTCAAAAATTCACAGAATGAGCATGTTTCTTACAAAGTGGCTTGTCCTTCTTGGAGAAAAATGTCTGACCTTCCAAACTTTCACAACATACCTGGAAAAGAAAAAGCATTGTATAAGATAATACTATTATTTTATCCAGTATGCACGAAGGAGAAAATGATTTTTCACTCAATGGATATTAAGACAAAGCACTTTAGTTGGTTGTGTTAGACAACCTAACATTTCACAATTACTATACTTCATTTAATCTTTCAAGAGCAATGAAGAATGACTTTTTTGGAATGCATTCTCATTTATTTAAATTACTGATGATTATTTTTCTTTATTGGGAGTTGGCCTTAATGAAATATTAATACCCAAAGAGGTCACACTAAATATTAATAAATTTTCTCTTCCCAAATTCTAATCAATGCTTTTAATCTACCTCCTGTTGCAGACCACCAAAGCATTCAAACAGAAAACACAACACAACTGCTTTACCTAACATTCTCAAGCCCCCAAACATGTAGGCATAGAATTCTTGAGAATTTTTTTAATACACTCCTTTGTTTCTTATAAAGAAAAACCTGGGCAACATCTGGCTGCTGGATGGTTATGCAGTCAATTAACCACCCACATTTATGCCTTCTTATCTTTCCTACTGCATTTGTTAACTAAAATGCTCATGAGAAGCTCTACTACAGAATAGAAGACAAATCTGCTAAAAACTGCTTTCTTAATAGATTCTATGACATCGAAGAGATGGATGAGGTAAACGAGATTAAGTTCAACAGTAACATTTGGGACAATTATTTGACTTCAATTAACATGACTTTGTTGCCTACATAGGATGGGTACTGAAAGCTATTAGATATATATAAACCTAATTTTCTAAAAAAATCATACATCTGAACAGAGTACCCTTACTGAATATTTACTTGCTAAATTAAAAAAGACATATACATATATATCTTAGGTTAATGTTAATCTCTGAGTCTATGCTCATTTAAAAATAAAAAACTTAAAATATGAAATAGAATATTAAATTAATAAATATAATAATATGAATAATATAGTATTCTAATATTTATTATACAGATATATTTTAGTCTCAAAAAGGGAAAATATTCATGGACTACTACTGTTAAGAAAGAAGATCAACATAGAGTTTACTTCCAATGTTAATTCAATAATAGATTTTAAAATAATTATTTATTTCTATTTTAAGAAGTACCTATGCTTCCAAAAATAACTAAAAACACTCCAATAAAAGTTTTTTTTTAAAAAGTAAAGGACTCTTACTGTTTTAATAAATACATAGCTTCTCCGTGGAAACAAAAATATATTAAAAACAGGATTTTCTCTAAACGGTAGGCACTTTATTCTATGCCAAGTAATTTTTTAAAGTGACAAAAATTTTAATAAACAACTTTCAAAGTCACTGTGAAAATATTTTTAGGTTTAAAGGATTGAAAGATACAAGAACTGTTATTTCTCCTTAGTGTTTATGCTAGAATTGGCTATACTGTGCTCCTTTAATTCACAAATGCATTTACTTACCGAGCACACAAAGCAAGTGTCGTGCCAGGTGTAGCCCAGAGCTTCCAGGAACATGTCGCCAGCTTCTATGGGAAACTCACACCCATGGCATATAGTACCAAAGAGCGCATAGTAATCTGTGTTGGGGGAGGAAGAGACATGATTTAAACACGACAGAGCTTTAGAATGACAGTTCCTAGAAAGCAGCAACAAAATTGGAATTGAATGAGATGATGAAGAAAAAGTTATTAGTAACTGGAAAATATTCAGACGACATAGTATTTGGCTTGAGATACAGGCGTAGCATGTTTCAGGTTACCCCTGTTAAATGCTAATTACACAACTTAACACCCTTTATTCTATTTTTCCATGTAATACTTTTCATTTCTTTCCAACTATTTAAATGCCCAAGTATCAATAGACATGACTGTTTCAATACAATACAGAAAAAAACTTCTAATAACCAGCAACAATAAGACTACTGAACTTAACTCAGAAAGCAATATATCGTATTAGCAAATTTTATAGCGTATCTGACTTGGTGAGGGAGAAAAAAAGAGTCACAGGCAACTTCCATGAAAAAGTTCCATGACTGAGTTTCTAGCTGGACTATATTACAATATTAGCCATTAGTTTTCTTTTTGTTATATTTTTCTTACAATTTTATGACCTCATGCTTAAAATCATTAGCCAGAGAACACCATTTACTTGACACAGATTATAGTTATAAAATCCTAATAGGATTTCCTTCTGAAGAAAGCAGTTTGACAAGATGTTCTTTCATTATTACTAGAATTTATAGGCATTTTTTCTTATATGCAGCTGCTCTCACTACTTGTGTTTACTCATGGTTCACCTTTTGGCCTTGGACACTTTCAATCCGACTTGGGCTGGAAGAGAAAGCAGGCTATCTGTGCAACTTGACTGACCTTTCTTAGCAATCTTCAACATTCACTATTTGTTCCACACATAGCTACAGAGTCCTAGTGTGTGCCAGGCGTTGTTCTAGACACTGGCCAGGGGTACAGTGGTGAAGAAAACGATGTGTTGTGCTCTTCATGGGGCTTTTATTCTCCTTGGGAGCAGAATGTCATAATTTATTGTATTTTAAAAATAAATAACAAATAATTTCAGATTGTAAAAAGTACCATGAAGGAAAGAAAATAGTGATGTGATAGAAATTAAATGGGGGATATAAAAAACCTGATATAATATAACACATAGAGGAGTGAGAAAGGCCTCTCTGAGGAGGTAATAGCTATGCTGAGACTGGAAAAAGGAGGAACCACCACCGAACAGCTGGGGAAGAACATTCCAAGTAGAAGAAACAGCAAGCACAAAACACTGAGGTGAGAAGGATTTTAGCAAGCTCATAAACCACAAAGGGGCTCGTATGGGCTCTTGCATGGGGTCCTAGGAACCAGTGACTGAAAAGCAAGGTGGTGGGAGTTAACTGTCAGCAAAGCAGATGCTTGTAAGGAATACAATTTTTATTCAGATGGGCTGTGAACAATAGCAATCCGATTTGCATTTAAACAAATATTACCTTAACCACTATTTGACCGCTGGGGAACAGAAGATATACCACTGAGCTGGCAATTACAATGTCCAGGTAAATGATGAGAGTGAGCTGGATTTAGTGGGGAAGGCTGATGCGGAGAGAAAGGAATGAATTCAACATATACACAGGAGGTATATGTTAGAACTTACTAATTAAATTGAATATAGGGAGAATAAGGGAAAGATCAGAATCCAAGATGACTCCTAGGTTTTGGAATAGTGGAAGACGGGTTAAGAGCACGTCTGGGAGGTTAAAGAAAAAGAACAAATATAGACCAAGATGATCAGAAGTGACAGTTAAATACACTTCAGTAATGCTTTTCCCACTCTGTAAGCAATTTCGGGTTTTAAAATAGGACTTTTTAGACTACATTAACTATGCTATTAAGGCTAGATAGTTTTTTACCTCTGTTTTGGCTAGATAGGGACTACCTGCCACTGAGTCCAAATGTCTTATAAAGCTTTTAAAACAAATAAATAAAAAGCTTTCTCTTCAGAAGAATGAAGTGGCATTATAAAATGTAAAATATTCTGATGAATCAGGGCAGGCAGCTTGTAGGCAGCCTTTCCCCAAAAAAGCCCATGGGGTAGTTCACTGGGATTTCCGCAGGGCTTCCCAGGGGACAGTGTGACATAGATCTAAATTGGCCCTAACTAGGGAACTAAGAGAAAGGTGAAAATAAGAAAATACTGAGTGAGCAAAAAAGAACTGAGTGATGTTCCCCAACCTGAAATTAGAAGCTGACCGCTCCTTTAATTTGACTACCATGGAATCTCTCCTTCTTCCAACACCACACTTAAGATACTCAAGGCAGAACAACAATAGAACTCCATAGTGGGAATGCAGTATAGTAAGTGAAGGCATGATAAAGGGAAAATATTTTATGTTTGAAAAATGTATGTGTAGTAGTAAAATCTAGATAAGGGTAATATTAATAAATAATATTAATGCTCTGAAAGTCCACTTACAGCTTTTGGGGAGAAAAAGGAAGTGTCCAGATTTCAGATAATAAGGCAAATGTAGTAGACTGGTCCTTAGGGATTGTTTATCAAAGTTAACTTTACCAATGGAACAATTGAAGCCAGGATTACCCTCCCCTTCAGTTAGAGCAACAAAGGACTTCCAATTTATTGTCAAGGTAATTGCCTTAAAGAGCAAATCAGTATCATATTTAAAAATTGAACATTTGTCATGATAATAACCACTCAAAATTTACTTACTGAATTTTAGGACGTAGCTGTAAACTACAGGACTTGGCAGAATTTATAACCATAAATTATTGGGGATTCAAGCAAAAGGTTTTTCTCCTAAGTAAAGCTTACAAGCTCATGTCTCTTAATTAAGTCTGGGCTATCTGTTTTGACAGTCACATAAAATTATACAGTTATTTTGCCATATATTTAGGTAATGTTAAATGTTCCTTAAACAATTAGGAAAACTGTTTTGCCTGATATTTCCTTTCAACTTCATAGCAATATAGGATTAACGTGTTACCTTCATTCAAAACTTAAGAAACTAATGGCTTCAGAAGCTTACCAGTCTCACAGTAAGGCTCACCATCCTCCAGGTGAAAAACATTATTATGAATGGGTTTTCCACAGGCCACACACACAAAACAGGAAACATGCCAAGTTTGTTTCAAAGCATTGATGACTTCCTGTTATAGAAAGGTAATTGGATGTAAAAAAAAGATGACACTAAGCAAATACTTAGTCGACTAGCTCAACCAATAGAGCCCTTTCCAACTGACCCAAAGTACATACATATGCTTTATCTTTGCCTTGAACTTTCCTCCTAAGTAACAGGAGATATGTAGGAACAGACTTCCAAATAATCTAAACTGATGTACTATATAATGTGCATTTTCCTAAACAGCATCAATAAACTTCTTTAAAGAATGATTAGTGTGTTATTTAAACATTATTCAAGCGGTGAATAAAGTAAGCATTTCATAAGCACTTGTTACAATACATTCTGCTTTCTCTCAAAGGGTGTCAGGAAACATTAACTTCCAAAGGTTTCGTAGTATTATCTTGAAAATCTCATGGAGAAAGGGCAAACATTTAAAAACTAAATAAACCTTTACTTTGGTGCATCATGGAAGCAATAACCTAATCAGTGTAATCCAATCAGTTTAACATATGTTTAGGGTTTTGGAAATCAGCTGTGACTACACTAAGCATACACTCAAAAAGAGTATCTAAAGTCTGAACCATAAAGCATGTCAACAACGCTTTATGCTAGTCAACAATGGTTGTACAGTTAAATATTCCAAGTACCAAAAACTTGGGCCAGATTTTGATTAGTAGAAGTTTTGGGAAGGTTTTGAAAAGAATCATTCTTTGAATTGACAGAAAGACATGGAGTCATTAAAAATCATTTTTGAAGGATAGTCAATACATGAAAACTTACTCTTTCCATAATATTTATCATAAAGAGAGCATGGCATACACAAAGTATGGTTATTATTTTGAAAACGAATTCCTTTTAAAGAGCAAACTGGAAGAAAATCCATCCTAGGATTAACAGGAATTATCTGGGATTAGTAAATACATAGGTTATTTTAATTTTGTTCTTTACTTTTTTTGTATTTTTAAATTTTAGCAGTGAAGTATTTTCTCTTATAATAAAAATATGGTCAAAATAAAATAAAATGATATAGAATAAATTATTAGCCGTGGAAAACGCCACAGTTCACTACTGAAGGACAATGGAAAGAAATGAGTTGTTCAGGTCCCAAAAAGACAACCGTGAACATGTGCAACAAATGTGCAATCAACCAAATCATTTCCCAAGGCTTCCTGCATATGCTCCCCTTTATATACCTGAGATTGATTACTATTCCTTCTTTAACAGGTAATCTAACAACTAAAACACAATTCAGAGTATCTGTCCTTTCAGTGATGCTCCTGCCCATCTCTGAAGCAATGAGTGTCCGGTTTCCATTTCCTAGAACCTTTTTTGGTTCTGAGACTGTTCCTTGACTTTGTTTTATTAATTATTCTAGAATCCATAAGACAGATTTATATACTAAAGCAGTAATAATGTATTCTACTTATTGTCATTGGGAAGGTAGAGCCTGAATCATTCTACACCTTTGTTCTCAATATATTGTACAAATTAATATTTCACATGGTATTTCATGTGGTATATTTATAATTTTATGTGGTATATTTATGGTTATATTTCATGTGGTATATTTATAATTTCTAAGTGTCCTCAAAGTTTTAGACATATTTAAAGATATAGTCTAAAATTAAGACTACTCTATAATTCATGCGAACTTTTCTTAACTGACATGAATTTAGAGTTTCATTGTTACATTTTCATACTGGGAATACTAGAATTCAGCAATGCCATTTCCAAATTTTGTCTTAGTTCTATGAGTTTCATATGAGAACATGCAACTTGGCTGCTTCCAAAGTAAAATTCCAACTCCTGGTCACCCATAGGAAATGCCTGGCTCTTATTTAGTAATTGCAAACTGGGTATTCCAGAGTAGGAAATTCATTCATTCATTATTATTTATTATGTACCTGACACCTAAATTACTCCCTTTGTGCAAAAAAATAAAAAGGTGTGGTTTTATTATTTTTCTATACATGTATGTTCTCATAAAACTGAGGTTATATTTGAAAATGTTATATGCATTCAAGAAAAACATATCATTTTATAAGCCTGTTTTATATATTTCATGAGATCTGTGCCCTGTGCTTGAACCCTGACAAATAGGGAAATGCTGCTCTTATAAAAGCTATGGAATTTAATTTAAAACAGTGAAGGTGTCAGTTCTGAGAACTCTGATGTGTGTGGTCCTGCATGACCTCTTCATTCCTGAGCAAACAGGGCCCTGTTGAGGTAGTACACCCTCAGTAAATTATTTTTCCCTCTCAGTGGCTAGACTTTCACCAGTCAAACCAGCGCTTGGCAAGATAAAACCAAAGACAACTTGGCCCCATGAGTCCTATCTACAGAAGGGCTATTTAGTTTTGCGTTACAGTCATGATTACTGATGAAAACAATGATGCAAGGTGTTCATAACAAAAATTATTCTGCTTTAAAATTCACTCCAAATAAAAAGATTCCTGATACTTACTCCAAGAATCTTCCTTTGGCATCGACCACATTCAGGAGCAAAGAACTTCTCATAGCACAGCTCACAATAGAGGGCTCCCTTTTCTTCGACAAATCCAATGTAGGCCATTGTATTTTTGCAGTGAGCACAGTTAAATTCTTCTGGGTGCCAAGATTTCCCCAGTGCCACTAGGAATGGTCCCCTGACAGAAGTAAAGAGATCACGTTGGCTTAGGAATCAAAATTTCTGCAGTTTGCCTGGATAGGATCTCTTTTATATAATATCCAATATCCAAACAATTAAATACTTGCCTAATTCTCCTTCTCAGGTTCTGAAGCATGGGTGCTGTAAATTTACACAGAGACTTTCTGCACATTCATGTGAAGAGTGGAGGGATAAGAGCATAGAAAGGCCGTATGCCCGCCCCGCCTCCCCCGCTTTTAGTCTATGTTCAAGAGACTTGGTAGTTACGTTTTTTGAGTTGCAATGAGTGAGTATGTCTGTGTCATGAGGATGTTAACTGTGACAGAAAATACAGAACCAGAAAATGTGTTTTAAGCAGAGACCAGAGTGTGACATTTCCACAAAATAAACAAAAGAAAAATCTTAATTTGGTAATGTCAGAGTCTTAAATATAAAATTACCTGATAAAATATTCTAGTCAATTTCTTTTCCCCACACATAGTTTCATATGTTTCTCAATTTTATTAAATATATCAAATCCTTGCCCTCCAAAGTGACTATAGAAACTGTAAACTGGGTATTAGAGATTGTTTGAAGCTACTTAGAAAGGTTTTATTTAATTCAAACATGACTTGTTTTTAATGCACATTTATATCAAGGTAACAAATGTTTGTAAAGAGATTTTTTTCCCATTTAATGCCATACTGTCATGAACTGATAAGATAAGGGTTTGGTTTGCTTGACAGGAATCCATTATGAAGCCTTATCTAGTCATAGAGCCTGCAGAGCTTAACCCTTCTAGCCCCTAGAGCATTCTTTTCAGTAGCATTACACTAATTTTTATTCATAGAGCAGTTGTACCTGCAAGGCACATTTACATTTATCTAATTTATCCGTGCAGCATTCCTGTGAGATGGACCAGGGCAGTTATTGCACACTCAGGTTAATAGATGGAGTGGCTGAGATACAGAATATTCAAAATATATGACAAATACCATAAAATCACCAATTGAGTGAGGGCCAAAAGCTGAATTTCCCAAATCCTAGCGTACTGCTCTAGTCAACTGATGCTCTGCCTTTGATCTCATTACCACTGGTTATTCCGCATCCCCGTGACTTTTTTTTGTAAAACTACCAATCTGTACTTAACTCCATAACATGCCATTTTGTATAACTTAGTGCATGCAGCTCTCTTAGCACTTGAGACAAGTAGTTATTATTATCTGCTAAACTTCAGGGTCCAACAGTTGTATTACCACTTAACAAGGAATGCCTTTGTTAGCTAATTCCTGCCAGAAGGAAAAAGGGCTACAGATCCCCTACTATGTAACCAAGTATGTTACTTGCAGTAGGTTGTCTCTCAATTTTGAACTGGTTTATAAGTAACTGTCCTGCTCAACAAGTTCCTTCTTTCATTTTTTTTTTTTCAGTATATATTTGGCAAGTAGTTTTCCTTCAAATATAAACCAGGAAGTCAAAATGCTCTAAGCTAGTCAGAGTTTTATGAGAAGTCTAAGCTTTTCCACCAGGTGGGTACCTGGTTATATATGCCTGAGAAATCTGCCAAGCTAAATTTTCTGTGACTGTGACATAAGATATGGCAGAACTTCAGGGTTTTATGCCACCATTGGCCTGGACATTAAAGTAGTTCAAAACAATTTACTGGGGTGAATTTTCTATAAGAGCACATCTACTCATCCATAAGCCTGGATGGCCCCTTGAGGCCAGTATGCTTAGTCTCCTCAGTTTTGCAAAAGCAGTCAACCAGCCTCAAGTTCTGCATTCTGTTAAAGCAAAGGGCTAGTATGCACTTGGAATAAAGAGTTTTATTCCTGGAACGTATCTATCGGTGCTACCAAACAGTTAACAAAGTTCATTTGAGAAAAAAAGACACTTAAGAAAAATTGATAGAGGACCAGAAAATCTATTTTCTACATTTTCTAAAATATGTGTTGCGATCAGCTCAGACCAGCAGAGCAATGTGTTCTGCAAATGAGACAGACCCATTCCACAGAAGTATTCCTTTAATGAGCAGTGTTCAGTGTGATACCATCAGTCTTCACTAACACTTGTTACAGGAAAGAGCTCTATGGAATCCATCTCGGCTCTCCCTGCAAGTTGCTGTTTGAAAGTGTTCTTTGTTAAATCACACAAGGCCATTTTCACATGGATTCCTTGGAGAAATTCCTTTCAGATTTTTGCAAGAAGAATAGTTTTGCTTCTTCTGAGCAACAGAATTATTTTTCATCTCAATGTATAGTACTTTGCAAAATTAACTCCTTTTTTTGCTGACTACTTGAAGGCTTAAAGCCAAATTTAGTCTAATCATAGCAAGCATGTATGTCAATGTTGTAGGTCTTGTCCAGTCCCAATGACAAATTTCTGTATATTGTTCATTTTTAATTGTCCCATTCAAGATTTTCATTCTTGTTTTGCTTCTTTTTGCAATTTAGAAGATTGTCTTGTATTTCATGTGTCCTTAAAAATGTTTTTGAAAGCTTTCTGGACTAACATCCACTACAAAAAATAAACGGTAATATTGTCCATCGAAAGGGTAATTTTAAAATATTGCCTTAGTTTATCAAATTTGAATAGTAAACATCTTAACAACAATAAACTCCCTCTGTACCTTTAAAAGGTGAGCTGAAAATGACCCTTGCTCCTGCCAAATCTCCTTTATCTCTAACAAACCTGCTCTGTCAGATACTGGCCTACCCTGATGCCCCTTGGTTGCACTGAGAGAGCATCTTCCATCAATGCACTTGAAGATATATACAGATTAAGCAATAAAATCTACTTATAACAAAGTACACTTTTCTCTGTGTCAGCAGAGACTAATTTAACAAATTCATTAACACAGGATTAACACTGAAGAAAGTTCTTGTTCCGGGTAGGATTGGGTTTCCATCTGTAAAGTGGAATGACAGGCTTGGATAACTGCAAAGTGGAATTAAGTATTCAGCTACCTCTTCTAATACTCTGCACCCATGAGCACTTACTAAATACTTGTTGACTGACAAAGGAAGGGAGGAGGAGAGTTAAAGCACTGATTGGCTGAGAAAGAGCTATGACATAAAACTTTTTATCATGTTTATCTTCTATGAGGCTTATACCAAAAAGAAAAAAAATACATGTATGAAAGAAGAGATAGGGAAGGATGCTAAGAGGGAAAGAAAAGCTTGCAAATAAGAAAGGTGAAAGGAATTGCACCTTTCAACAGGCACAATCTAGCAGGGATTTAACTTCTAAATCAAACGCTTACTTCTTTCCTCCCTTTGTTATTTAATTTTCACAATCTCTCTCAGTGACAGACATTAATTCTACAAATAGATGAAGCTAACATTGTAGAAGTTAGCCAATTTTCCTAAGATCACAATGGATAGTGAACTATAGAGCTGGAACCCTCCAAGGCCCAGCCACTATAGATTAAAAATTTTATTTGGCCAAAACTTACTGCACCAATAGACGTTAAAAGCTACATAAAAAAGAACTCACATGCTCAAAAATAAATATGGAATCCGATATTCTACTTAACTAGGTATAATAAATAATGAAAATGTACAAGTGAGTTTATATTATGCTCAACTTTTAGGAAAGGCCTACCATTAAGCAAACAGTCTAAGAACAACACTAGAAAAACAGAAGGAAATGGAAAAGATTATTGGGAGAAAATGCACCACTCACACAGAGTGACAAATACACACACACACATGCAGGGAAAGAGTAAAATAATGGAACACATTGACTATCTTTCACTATTTACATTACTTGAAATTAGAAATATTAACAATCCTCCCAAAAATTTAGAAAAACTGTATTTTTGACACCCTTAATTCTTCATTTCCACTGGCTTATCCCCAAACTTTACAATTAGGAACATCAAAAAAATAAAGTTCTTCTTTAATCAAGTATCTTATTTGTTTGTTTATTGTTATTCTATTACAGTTGTCCCAATTTTTCTCCCTTTTGCCCCCTCCACCCAGCCCAACTCTCTCTCCCACAGCCACTCCCCTCTCCACTGTCCATGTCCATGGGTCATTCAAACATGTTCTTTGACTAATCCCTTCCCTTTCCTTCTACTATTCCCCTCTCCCACCTTCCCTCTTACAGCTATATGTTCCATGTTTCTGTGTCTCTGGTTCTGTTTTTCTCATTAGTTTATTTTGTTCATTAGATTTCAGTTATAAGTAAGGTCATGTGGTATTTGTCTTTCACCAATTGGCTTATTTCACTTAGCATAATAATCTCCAGTTCCATGCATGCTATTGCAAAAGTAATGAATTCCTTCTTTCTTTCTGCTGCGTAGTACTCCTTTGTATAAATGTACCACAGTTTTTTCAATACACTCATCTACTGATGGGAACTTGGGTTGTTTCCAAATGCTATTGTAAACAGTGCTGCTATGAACATAGGGGTGCATAAGCTCTTTTGAACTGCTGTTTCAAGATTCTTAAGGTATAGTCCTCTCAGTGGTGGAATTGCTGGGTCATGAGGCAGTTCCATTTTTAATTTTTTTGAGGAAATTTCATACTGTTTACACTAACATCTGTCATCTTTAATTCATAGTCCTTTTTTTGTTAAAGATTTTATTTATTTATTTTTAGACAGAGGGGAAGGGAGGCAGAGTGGAAGAGAAACATCAATGTGTGGTTGCCTCTCACATGCCCCCTACTGGCCTAAAACTCAGGCTTGTAGCCTGACTGGGAATCGAACTAGTGACCTTTTGGTTTGTAGGCTGGAGCTCAATCCACTGAGCCACACTAGCCAGAGCTAATTCACAGTCCTTTAAAATACTGCATTTAAAAGATTGTAAGGCCACCTATATAAGCTTTTTTTTTTGAAAGACATGAAAGACATACTCCTTAAGAATAAATGCACAGGTAAAATGAGCCCAAACATAATAATAATAGTAAATAAAACAAGAAGTTCTAAAAAAGGTACTATTAATTGATAATTTAAAAACAAGTTTATTGGAGGCAATTATAGTCAACTTATATTGAGATTATTATAAAATTAGATAAGCAGGAGAAACGTGCTTCTATATAATCAGACAAATGGAATGTAATTTCAATTTCGCAAGACTAATAGCATGTATTCCTTCAAATATTTTTAAAAAGTTCATGTATCAACTGAACAAATATTTACTAAATGCAGTGATATGTGCAAGGTACTATTCTGGGAGCAGAGACAATACCAAGAAACAAAGGCAGAAAAAGCCATGCTTGCATGGAACTTACATTCTAGTATGGTGGAGAAAGACAACAAAAAAGATAAATACAGTATACGGTATGTTAGATTTTAAATGCTGGGGATAAAAATGAAGCAGGGGTGGGAGATAGGGAGGCTGTCTGCGGAGGGCTGGGGTGGCCAGGAATACTCTGATAATTGAGTAAAGACCTGAAGGAGAAGAAAATGAGCTGTGCAAATATCTCGGGGGAGAGAGTTTAGGCAAAAGAAACAGCAATTTTTCACTACTGTAAATCTAAAATCTTGTTCTTTGTCTTCGGTTGTTTCCTTAAATTCAGGGAGTAACACATTAAGCCAAGAAACCTTTTATTTTCAAGTAAAATCTTAACCAGAAGGGAAAATAAATAAAACCTATTCATAAAGGAGTGTTCAGAGACTGGAATGGATGGTGAGAAACGCAAAACATTCTGCCGGCCTCTCCTTGGAGTAACTGAGATGCCTCTCCTTATGAGAAAAACATGAAAATCACTGAGCAAGAAATAATTCAGTAATGTTGAAATTCTCTTTCTCACTAGAATTAACTATGGGTTGACTGAACATGACTGTTCTGGTGTTGTAATGCACGCAAAAGCAGAACAATAGTATTGTGGCTTTTTTTTTTTAAAGCATTCCCTATCTAAGAAGAAATTCAAGCACCATAAATCCCTTACTTCTTTCACAAAGATGCTAAGAAGCTAAACATGAACGGTCCACTTAGCTCCACATAATGCAAGTGGTCAATAGATTTTAATGCCACTAGATGTAACAGTCAAGAAAGCAGCTAGAGTTTTCATAGGCCCATTCTACCAGGGAAACTAAAGTGCGATTTTGGCTATATTAGTCTAATTTTCTATTTCCCTCTTATACCAGCATTCCAACAGTCAATCTATTGATGAGTGGAAGAACTGGTATTTATATCACAAATGGATTGGAAATGTTCACCGCCAACTTAATCAAAGCTTCAGTAGAATTTCCTAAAATGTAAAACCCTAGTCATCTGTAAAAAGCAACTAACTAATCAAACTAATGCCTAAATAATACAATTTAGGCAAAATGTACATCATCTTTTCAAAATTCAAATAAACCAAAATTTTTAAATATTAGATCAAAATAAAATAACTTACGGAGTTTTAAGTTAAATATATTCTATAAGCGAGAGTCAGTTCAGTACTAATATTCAGTGATAGAGGTTTCTGAAGTTTTCCACAATTAACTTTGCTAAAAATAAAATGAAACACAAAATTTGCCTTAATTTGGCTTTAGTTAAAAATGTTTTTTGAAAATTTAAAATACCTAGAAAATAAATATAAAATAAACAATATAAATTACACTGTGGAAAACAAACAATATAAATTCTAAAATTTTAAACTTCTTAAGAGTTTGCCAGTTTGCAATACTCTATATTAAAAGTATCAAGCCTGTGTCTGCAGCTTGTTTTTAAAACAGGTGTACAAGAGAATGTCACTTGATCTAATGCCTCCTTGCTTTGGTAAGTGATACTGGTATTTGAGGCCAAGAACTAGAATTATGCTTTGACTAGGTCTCTGAACTGACCACCATCTATTCAAGTTGCTTTAGCATTTGAGCACCAAGCAAATGTGCTATGTTAATTACTGTTAGAAGATCTTGACATGAACTAATCCCTGTTCCTGTTAGCTTCCCTATAAATGCAGCTTTCATGTTTAACTGATAACAAGTGCTGGGATAATCCAGAGTGATATAAAATTTAACAGATGAGGGAGCAGTAAGTGATGGCCATTCATGTTATTAACATAATATGTATTTATTTCACATGACAAGAAGACTGTGCATTAAAATTTCATCCTGGTCTAGTATTAAAACTGAAACCAAGGTAGGCAGGGGTGGGGAATAAAATTTCTATCCATAGTAAGTTTTTCAGATGTGCTGGTAGTAGTGATTAGAGAATGTCACAAAACTTGATAATCAGACAACATGAACCAGCAACTGAAACGGTCTGACATTTTGTTAACCCATCTAATTATTTGCTTACAACAGCACACAAGCAGCAGTGACTCCTGTCTTCATAAAAGGTGTTCGTACCCACCATATTGTATTCCTAAATACCAGTCTACCAAACCAAAGTACCACAACTCATAGAAGCAATGTGACAAATTAGAATATTTTATTTCATTAATATTAAACCTAAAGACCTGGCTGGGTTGCCCAGCTGGTTAGAGTGTCATCCTGATATGCCAAGGTTGTGGATTTGATCCCCAGTCAGGGCGCTTACAAGAAGCAACCAATGAATGGCATAAATAAGTGGAACAAGAAACTGATGTGTTTCTCTCTCTCTCTCCCTCTAAAATCATTAAATAAAAATTTTGAAAATTGAACCTAAAACTGTAACAACTAAATACTGTTAGTAATTAAAAAGTGTTTTATTATGCTAAGTGAAATAAGTCAGTCAGAAGAAGCTAGGAACCATATGATTTAACTCGTATGTGGGATATAAAACTGAAACTCAGACAACAGTGTGGTGGTTCCTGGAGGGAAGAGGGCCGGGGGTTAGTAAAGGGTGAAGAGGGCCAGATACATGATGAAAGACAATGATTTGACTTTGGGTGGTGGGCACACAATGCACATGGACTGTGCGTCGTAGACATATATGTTCGAAACCTATATGATCCTATTAACAAATGTCACACCAATAAATTTAATAAAAAAGAAAGTATACTGTTCTATTTATTGGGGCAAAGCAGTACTACACTAGAGTAGTACTTTTAGAAAAATGACTTTAACTGAATTAATATTATGACCTGAAACACGAGTGGGTCTAGAGTCATGCGTGATTCTGTTCAGGTCAAAGGTTCACTGCCTGAGTGTTGGTTATGGTGCTAGACTGTGGAAACCTCTACTGATATTCTTTGCCTCCTTTATTACTGCTACCATTGCTCCTGGCTAATTCCTAGTAAGCAGGCACTACTCACTGTGGAGAATATTACAATTTAAGTGAAAAATAACAGTTTACAAAAACTGTATTATGATTCAATTTCTGTAAACAACACCTCTCCTCAGGTGTGTGTGTGTGTTTTAACAGTGTGAATAAAAATACTAACAGTGGCTCTCTTAGGAAGTGCAATTATGGATGAACTTTTATTTTTGCTTCCAGTTTTTCTATATTTTTGATATGTCACAATGAACATGGACTAACTTTAAAATATAAAGCTGTTTTATTTTGAATCATGTAGTGTGTGCTGTGTTCTCAACTCATTTATTATTTAATAGTGGGTTCAGGAGAAGGGTATTTATATTTGATTTTTTAATTAAGTACTAAGGCTTCTTGGGCTCCAGTTTGAGTATTAACAAGACACATTATCCTAAGCAATAATTATGTAATTGAGGAGGGGAAAAAATCTTAACCTTATTCAACTTTACAGAAACCTCTGTTTCAACTATTTCAAAACTGAGTAAATTAAAAATGAGGAGAGAGCTTGAGCAATCATTTTGACTGATCATTTGTTACTGCCAACAAGGCGACTCACAAAGAGGTAACAAGGACCTGCTGGTGGGATCCCTGCAGTCAACATTCACACCTTTACCTCATAACATTTTAAAAGCCACTTATTAAGGAATGTTCAGAGATTTAATAAGTGCCAGTACAGTACATTCACTTAAGATCTCTGGGCCTTTATTCCTACTTGGAATTTAAGAGACAATAAAGATTTTGATAAAAACATAAAAAAGCAGGTTATGATCTAATCTAAAATTTAAAGCAGTTATGTATAGCCTGAAGGTAATTGCGTTTTTCAGTGCTGAGGGCTTCAAAAAGCTAACCTTCTTCCCTATAGGACTCAAAGTTCTTTCTGTTATGTCACTAGTTATTTTTCATATAAATGAAAGTCCTTACTTTTATAATTTGTAAATAATCAAGTTCCGGTAAATGATCTTCAGGGTCCCCTTCGAGTCTTAAAATTTTATTATTCTCTGAAAGGCTACATTAATCATCATTTTTTTCCTTAGAAATTAATAACTGGAAAAAACCCCAGTATTTTTAGCTGTAATTTCAAGGGCCCAGAATTATTTTTCATTAAAATATATTCTAATAAATATATTCATATTTATCTACTTCAATAATAGCACTTACATAAAAATATGGCAAGAATAGTTTCCCTACTAAAATTGTGAATCAGAATATTTAAAAAAAAAAAAATCAACATTGGCCTTAAGAACTTTCAAGAAATTTCCAAAACCACCAACCTGATAACCTGGTTACAGTGGGCGCACATTGGAGTGCGCTTCCCTGCTGGAATGTGCTCAGCTCTTTGCACTAAAGTGTCCTGGTCACTCGGCTGGGGCTGCCCTGAAGCTGAGTTGGCTGGTGCTGCTGCTCCTGAGATTCTTCCAGTGGAAGGTGCTAGGAGTTAAAACACACACAAAAGTAATCAGAATGAGAATAAGCCAAATATAAACTTTTTCTAATAAATGATAATATTACTTTTAAAAATAATCTATTCACTCACTCATACTTAAGAAGAGGTTATGTACCAAATACTAGACTGTGACTACAGAGATAAATAGAAAAGAAAATCAAGGATTACAACATCAAGAGTTAGGACAGATGTATGCATAGCATGTTGTGGGAAAAGGAGAAATACTTTTGCTTCCAAGAGGAGATATGGTTAGGGTGCATATTCACAACATCTCTAACCATTAATTAGATTTAACTTGAAATATATCACAGGCACATAAAAAATTTCAGTGGGTTGATAATAACAACTCTTTATTGTTATCTATATTCTTTTTCTCCCTGTATTATCTAAGAACACTGTGCGGTCAGTCATCCAGTCATATAAAGTAGCTACAAAAGAATCATCCTACAACCTTCTTCTCCCTCATCTGAGGTTATAATGGGTTCTGATAATTTTATATCACAATAATTCTTATTTTTGCCCCCTTATCTCCATTCGTACAATACTGTCCTGGTTTAGGTCCTCAATGTCTCCCACCTGGACTAGTCACCAAACTGTCTTATCCTCCACAAATTCATACTCTCAACTGTGACCTAAGACAGCAATGTGGTCTGGTCAGACCCATTTCTAGGATTTTCCTGTTCTTTGACCACTGAATGTAGTACATACTTCTAATCTCTTCCTATAAGGCCCACCAGTGGTCTCTGCCTGCTCCACCACGTCAGCTTTCGGCACTCTGCCTTTCGTTTATGCTACAGCAATACTAAACTGCCTCACTTTTTCTTGGGAATGGGTCATCCCTGTTACTTCTCTATGTTTCTTCCTCTTTATCTAGTAACCACTGCTGTTTAAGATGCAGCCCAAAAGCCAACTACTCCAACCACTTCTCCCTGATGCCCCCTCCACATAATCCTAATTAAATATTTCTCTTCCATGTTCCCATAATTTTCTGTGAATGATTTTATTGCTTCTACTGCATGTATCTGTGTCTTTTCTTCTCCAACTACATAGTAAGCTCACTGAGGGTATGAACTATGTCTTATTCATTACCTTCACAATTAATACAGTGTCGGATAAATAAATGAATGAATAAACAAACTGGAATCAATATGTAAGTGAATGAATGCAAAAGTGGAAAGGACCCTAACTAACAGACGGCCAGCTCCTTACTCATAAAGCAAGTAAAATGTAAGAGAAGAGAAAAAACATACATTAGAAAGGTTTAAAAGGAATGATTTTTAAGAAAAGCACATATAATACAAATGAACAAAGGGTGTGTATGTATGCACACGTGTATGTATATTGACAGAATCCATATTAAAGGTGTGATCAAAACTGGGTAAGATAGATTAGGGTAAGTGAGAGGATAATTCTCCCTCACCAGAATAAAGCCTGTTAGCTATAGATCCAGAAACCTGGCACTTATAAACACTTAGCACGTCTACGGTGCTCTCCCTGGCACTGGAACTGTGAAATGGCACGTTACAGGCCAGGGAACACTACTACTGCCCATGTTTCAAGTCAACTGGACGTGGAATATGTTTTCATTCTCTTAAACTCACACTTTCTCTAGTAGAAATGGGAAAGAAAATTACTGTAATATTCACTTTGTATACTCTCTTCCTTGTTATCTCATTTACTCACACAGCACAACCGTTGCCTCTGTGGGTCTTCAATTTCTATACCCAGGTCTGATTTCTCTTGGAACACCAGATAAGCATTTTCACTGCCAAATCCTGTTCTTGTCGTTATGACCACGACATGCAAAATGTTTTGCGTCTTGCACACACTGCCAGCTTTTCCTAAGAATCTCTATGGTTTGAATTTTCCCACTCACTCAGACATGGTCCTCTTCTTCCCTGACACTCAGTCTCCAGATGCTAACAACGATTTCATTACAAATGTTTCCAAGGCCTGTCCCTTCCTTCTCATTGGAACCCAGCTCTATCTTGGGAGCCCTGGTTTGAGTCCCTCCAGTCCAGACCACTACAAGTCTCCCAAGCAGTCTCTCTGCTACCAGTCTCTTCTTCAACCTGTTCTACTGCATTCTTTCCCCAAATACACTAGTCTGATCATATACTCTTTTTTATAAAGTTTTCAGTAACTCCCCACTGGGACCAATATATACAGTCCTGACAGTCTAGTCCCTCAGCGAGCTCACTCCAATCTTCTTTACAATCGTGTCTTTCACGCTTACCTACATCCCTGTCACCATCATCATATTCGATTACAGTTCTTTAATATTTAACTGGTGCTGGCACTATTCTCAAATCCTTACAACAGTCCTATGGTTTAGGCACGATCAGTACCACCTTTTTACTCTTAGGCAAAGGGAGGTTAAGAAACCTGCCCAAGGTCAAACACAAAATAAAGGGCAGTCCTGGATCCAGGCAGGCTGGGTCCACAGTGTGCTCATTAAAACCACGCTATAGTCCACTCACTGTCTCTGAACATGCTTTGTCATCCCCTGTTTCTGTGATCCTCAGCCAATGAAATATCCCCTTCTCCTCTGCTACTCAGTTTTCCCATTCTGCAAGCCTCATGAAAGTTCCATTTCTGTCCCCAGTATTCCCTGGCCATCCCAGCTACAAGTGTTTTCTTGCTCCCCTTAACATCTATTAATAACCCTGCCTGTGTAATTTATTTACTACTTATTCATAGGACCTGTAGTACCTTTCGCTTCCTAAGTCAATAACAAACTCTCAAAAAATGAGAACAAACTAGACCCATTACCAGAACACTGCCTTAAAAACAGAGAGCAAAAAAATTAATATTTAATCAAGTAAATGAAAAAAGGAAGGTTCTAAATCACTTTTATTTTTGCCTTTTGAAAGGAGACCACAAAGGTATAGATTTTTAAAATGTGGACTGGGTTCAGGATTTCAAACAGTGGGAAAGTTACCAATTGAAAAGTTCTGAAAATCAGACCTCAAAGAAAGTCAAACCCTTTCATCTACAATATGCCTTTATTTTATCACATTATCTATGCATAAGCCCTAAAGTACTGAGTCACTGAGACACTTTTAGCAATAAAAGAGTGCGGTAATTCTGCATCAGTCATTGTAAAATGGGACATAATCTACCTGGCCCATGCGTCAAGGAGAAGATACATGGGAAACTAACTCATTTAACGTGAGAGGCCATTCTTAAACGTGAAACATCTGATCACCTTAAGCACATATAAAAAGGCTCTAAGCTAACTGCTGTTCTTTTCTTGTGAAGAAAAGCCTGCTTCTCTTCCTGCTCCGTTTTAACCACTTTGGATAAGACCGAAGTTCTCACACCTCCATTTTGTTGCTGTGTTGCTAGCACACTGGCCCACACAAAGCTGCACACGCCTGTTAATTACCAAGCCCTGAACATTTCCAAGACCCAGTTATTTCCCGCATGAGCAAAAGTGATGCTTCATTTCTTCAGACTGAATTTCTCACTACTCTAGCACAGGAATGGGCAACTTTTAAGCCATCAAGTGCCAACCCCCGGCCTCTGCTCACTTGGCTTATTGGGGACAGGAGGTATAAAAAGGTGAGGTCTTGGGAGTGGGAAAGTACCACAAAATGAGCCCTGCCTCCTTTAGAGTTCTGTAGAGAACTGTCTACCATACAGAGAAAACAGTCTTCCACGGATAGTAGTGACTAAAAACAGTATTTATTGAACTCATCCCCCAAAAATCACCTAGGTAGAAAAAAACCCATTTCTTTAGAAGTAGCAGCTTGAAGATGACAATCTACTTGTAATAAGTTTCTTCTTTACAGTCCTAGTAGAACAATTAAATAGGAACATGGAATTAGCCCATTCCATGTGCTGGGAATTTAAGTCACAAAAAATTTAAATGACTTATTCTAACTGAAAAATGAATGAGTCAATAAAGGTTCATAGTGGGAAGATTAGGAAGCTGACTCAAGTTTTCCTTTTAAGCTTCCTCTTGCGCTACTTCCATTAAATTTGGCTCCTTTTGTGGCTAATCTCTAGCCTGCTAGGATCATGTTTTAAAAATACTTTTTTCTTTTGTATCAAATATATTTCAGCACAAAACTCATCTAGAAATTTAGAGCCACTAGCTACTTCCCAAACCAATAGTGTTGGTGAAAATGCCTTTTATTCACTTTAGAATGGTTATTTATAAGTATTCTAAGGTTTTAAATGACATACATCCATAATTATTCTATGCTTTTGTTTTTCAGCACTACGATAGTCAAACCTAAAATTACAAAGATTATCATTAAATAAGTAAACATAAATTAGTGAGAACACCCAACAGTATAATAGAACACTTTCTTAGTATATAATATGTAAAGTTGTCCAAGTAATCAGTAAAATTTAATACCCACAATATGTTGAGTTGCTAGTTTTTAAAATACTTGTCATAGTGAAATAGCTGATTTAAAACAGCAAACAGACCTCTGATTTGCTAAACATGAAGTTTACTACCAAGAAATACAAAAGTCACCTCATTTGGGCTGCACACTCTTAATTGATGATAAAGAATTTTTAAAAATAGAACCACATAATATTCATTGATTTAGAAAAACACCTACTTCCTATTATTGGGTAACTTTGTGATGCTATTTGGAAAGATAAAGTGAAAATTCTTTAGTAATATTTTAACTGCATTTTTTACCTAAAGCAGATGATTTAAATTTGCATTATTTAGCAAATTATTTAACACAAGTTTTACACAATCTTATCCTGAGATTTTTCTTTTCTAATCTCTTTAAGGCCCCAACCAAGTGATTATTGAGTTTATCCAAGTAACTTCTGCTCTATGGCCCACGAAAGTACACTACTGGTGGTTTATTTACACAGTATGTAACATACGGTACTATAAAACACCATGTAACAATAAGGAATTATACATTAATTATTTACTGTATGTTTCAAAAATAATTGCGCTCATTAAAAGGCACTTGTTCATGTAAATAAGGACTTCATAAAAAGAAAGCAG